CGACTGTTCCTGTGTCACTCGCTAGAAGATAGAGTAAATGAGATGTTTAAACGTCTACCTCTTTCTCATCCCGAGTCCATTAAGGGACACAGCTCCCTCCCCATTATTATCCTTTTTTTGCTTGGTTTTATACCCTAGGGCTGGCCTACAATTTTACACTTTATTTGTTCTAGTATCCATTTCTTCTGTAGGCAGCGCAATCTAACCTGTAGTCATACAGTTATATCTATGCAACAGTGATCTGTGCCAGTAAATCAAATAAGGTGAAAGCTACTAGGCACTATAATCATAAGGCAAAAACCAATAAACAATAATGTGCCAAGCTTTCACGCATTATCAGCTCGGCACATTATTGTTTATTTCTAGTCATACACTGTTTCTGTGAATGACAACGAGAAAGTCCTGCTTTCAAGTATAGAACCTAGAGAGAAATTGTCATATTTCCCATTCAGGCACTGGGGAGGCCAATAGTGAGGTAGAGGAGAGAGGAAAGAGTGGTTAAGAGCCAGCGACCACACAAACTGCTTGCAGAAAGAAGTACCCCACTATTGAGATCCGGGGGCACTTAAACAGAAGAACATGGCATGAAGGCACCTGGAGTTGGCTACAATCCATGGTAAGTTTGTTTTTTCTCTTCCCTTGGTTACTTTAAATATACGTTTCTTGCCAATTTAAAAGAAAAAATATTAGGTTTCTCAGGAGTTAACCTAGGAAAGGTAAAACATTATATTTTTAAACAAGCACACCAAGAGCTGCTAATAAAATATTTTCTTGGAAGAAGACTAAACATTTTCCACATTCACACACATCTAACACCTTCTATGTATGTACGTCCACACACAGACTATGGGTACATCTGCATTTGCTTAACCAATACATCTACAATAATGTAAAACATCCTTCCATATTCCCAGACTCTTGATGATGTAGGATCTTTAAAAGTCCTGTGCCTAATTCATGAAAGCCTTACGATGGTTTTGCAAAGAATCCTGACAAATTCAGGTAGTTCTTATATGCTCCACTTTCAGAATGTGTCCCTATGGCTGAAACAAATTCAAAAACAATTACCCCCAGTTCATAGATAACAAAACTGGAGGTATTTAACAACAACTCCAATTAGGTGTACAAAGACAGGACTGCAAACATGGCCTGCTCTTTACTACCCAGTGGGGGCACTGTGTAGTAAAAAGTAGGACATGTCATGAATGTGATAGTTTCCTTTAGCACTGGTTGGTTGCTAGGACGCCAGTGGCTGCCGGCATCCTAGCAGCCGATGACATGTGTCGCTGGCTGGTATATTCCCTGGCCTGCAGCTCCTGGTCGACAGCTGAATGGGGTCGGGGATGAATCATTGGTTGCTAGAAAGCTGTCAGCTGCACAACTAACAGCATCCTATCAACCAATAATGCGGGGTTGGATTGTCATTGGGCAGAGCCTAATAGGGAAGCTGAAATACTAGTTCCCAACAGGTCCCCCTAACTTGCGACTGATAGCGGACAGAAATGGGTGGATTCCAAAGCTGCAATGGAATCTGCCCACTGACATCCAGTGTGAAGCGCAACTTAGGTGTACCTGATGGGGAACTTGCTTCTCCAAGTTCCCCATCAGGTCTGCCTTTCTTGTGATTGACAATGGATGTCAGTAGGCAAAGTTAATTGTCATTTATTATGAAGGCGGCCCTAATGGGAACTAGTTTCTCAACTTCCCCATTCCTCATCACCAAGCTTGTTCAGGCCACCTGGGATGCCCTATATATACACCTGCACACAGGATCTGCTTAGTATAGGACTTGGTGATTCAACACATGGATATATGGGATTGTGCACTTGAATGTTAGTCCCCTATTGGAGATTGAAAATCTTCTTTGTGATCTACAAGAAGTCTCTTGTACAAGTCTACTTTAGTAGAGAAGGATAGCACTGGATATACAGTACATATGACAGTGTGGAGCTCAGAGTAAAGGAATGGGTGTTTACAAACTAGTAGCTGCTATGCCCTACACAAAAGACTACCCTCTCAAATCTTGAAAAGAATCAAACAACACTTGTTATAAGTACTAACCAAAAAGGTTTCCCTGATATTCATATACACAGTTGCTTTGTAGGGGTAAACAAAAGTAGTGATGAGTGGAAACAGTTGCAATGTTGTTGAAAAAAAATAGTCACTGTGAAAATAGCTACTTGAAGAGTTACCTTCAGTATAGAAGAGCTGCTGCTGGATCGTGGTATGTGAAGTGCTCCAGGCTCCCTCTAAGGGCTTGTTCACACCACATCCGGACTAGATCTGCACGCGTTTCTGCACATCTAGTGAAGTGCGTTTTGACGTGTTTTTGACCCGTTGCGGTCCTTTTTTTGGGGGGGCGGGGGGTGGGGGAGCCTAAAATGGACTTTCGGGTGTAGTCCAATGCGTTCACATGCATTTTTGATGTGTTTGCATTTGTTTTGGTGCGTTCCAGAGCAGAAAAAATAGGACATGCTGCAGTATTTCCACATGCACTGAAACTGAACGCTGTGGTGTGAACAAGAGCCCAAAATACCATTGGAATACATTGGATGCATTTAAATGAGTTGTGTAACTGCTCTGCATCTACTCCGCACTTGGTGTGAACAAGCCCCAAGTATCCTAGTTGTTCCAGTGAGTGTATTCAGAGAGGGGGGTCAGATTCTCCTGCACAAAGCCATAGGTAATCAGGTACATGAATCCAGAGTAGGGGTAGGTTTACTCCGCAAGGAGAGCCGCCTGACTCGTTTCCAATGAGGAGGCGAAACTCTCAGAAGAAGATGTGAGCAGTGGGCTCTGCACCTGTCATTCAATGTGTCCTGGTAGACAAACAGACAGCTAAAGAAAAGAGAATAAAAGAAAAAGAACCAGATGAAGAGCACTTCTTCAGATATCCTAAACTTTGTCATTGCTCCAAATCCGCAACAGTTCCATTTCACTTCCAGTCCAAGCGGTGCCATGTGGAAAACAAAGCAGCATTCTGCAAAGAGATCTGTGCTCGCCAGGCAGACTGAACCCGGTTCAAATCTAAGCTCCTCTGAACCCAGAAGGAACATGGGGCCATCACCTAATACGCAGTGGCCTGGGGCATAACCCACCCCACAGCTGCATATAAACAAAGGGACAGGATGCTTGTGCTGACATCATTGACCTTATATGGCCAAATACAGCCATGTGGTCATATGAGGTCAATGATGTCACATCATCCACCCTTTTGCTTACATGCAACTACGGTCAGGGAGTTCCCTGAGCTGATTGAATGGCAGTGTAAAGAGCTTTCTTCTGGGTTCGGAGGAGCCTGGATTTAGACTGGGTTTGGTGTAAACCTGAGCCCATCCCTAGTGCTAACTGCTCAATTCCATTTGCTTTCTGTAACCCCACATCAGGTGTACTGTGGGCCCCACTCACATCTGTGCACTGCAGCAAGGTGCAGAAGATGGACATTCCTGCAGCACCCCAAAACACACGTCACTTTGTAGAACATTCTGCGGTGCCATTTCATTTTAATGATACCTCAATGCACCTTGCTGCACTATGCATCAGGTGTGTGAAATTAAACCGGCATGCAATTGGTAACAAACTATGGTGCGGTGCCCTTTGAAAAAAAGGTGCAGGGATTTTTTGGTGCAATGGTCAAGTGTAGGGCAGCCCATGGAAATGAACGGGCTGTCCTATACGTGACGCACAAAAAGATGCATACACGTTGTCACACCCTCACAAGGGTGTACGAGGGCTCAATGTGGTTTATGGACATAAACAGGGTACACAATGGAAGGTGGTCTCATAGCTGATTACACAGAAGTGGAAACTAGCTATTTAGTGCCTTTTATTTAAAGTGTATGGTACCCAAAAATGTTTATCACATACACGTGACTGTTTTTCATTTTGTTTTTGATTAATCTATCTTGTGGGGTTTTTTAATTGCTTGGAAACAGCTGATGATCCTGTAGCCTCTTCTAGTCTTTTTCCTCCCCATCCTTACTGTCCCTAGTCCACCCCTTTTATTCATTGGAGTTCAGTTCTTTCAATCATAAAGGCTAAAGGTGGCCATGGATCCAGATCAAATAAACATACATTGCCCAGCAAAGTATCTTTTAAAATGTTTGCCCAAACACTTACAATCATGTTTCCAAACAGCTCCAACTCTCTCAGCTCAACTTCCCTAAACTTCCTGTCCAGTACAGTCTCCAGCAGCTGTCCACCCAAAGGGAACTGGCTTGCCTTGCCTGTGTCTTTGTGGAGACACACACACACCTTACTAACATGCACAAGGGTGGTTCCATAGCCCTGCAAGGGAAAGGAGCCAACCTAAAACAGGAAGTCAGGACCAGTGTTCAGGGGACAAGCTGATTCTACAGGAAGCTAACACTTTTACCATCAAGGAGCAGCATTTACTGTATTTAGTCAGCATCTGAAATACTGTAAAAACCTTTTGCCTGTATTATGACTTTAACTGAGCAAAACCATTCTCTGCAGGACAGCAGTTTAAGTTATATGTGCACCAATCAGTGAATCAGTAGAATGATGTCATCCCTAATATAATAACCCCCCCCCCCCCCTTCCCCCCTACATAGTTTCTTTTGGGCAGCCTCCAAGGCGGGGGGACGGATTGGAATTCATAGAAGTCATGTCATTCCTTCTACTCCGTATCACATCGCAGTACAGATTCTCTATTGTGCCGCTCTGACTGAGTCAGAACTAGAAGACAGGGATTTGGCACCGTGCATGACTGAGCCGTAACCAACAGCGCGGACACACACCTCAGACGGAGCTACACACACAGCGGACAGAGGGGTGCGCTCTGATTGGCCGCTTCAATTACGGCTCAGGCGACGGTCTCCGAATTTGAGACACACCCCTTTTTCCAGAGCGCCAGTGAGGTGGTACAGTCTACTGGGTACCAGGAGAGGGACGTACAGCTGGATAGCAGAGGCGGTTGCTAAGCGACAGTGGCCTAGTTACTACTGACAACCAGGACTTCGCCGCCCCCGCCGAGCCTCCCTGGAGGGAGGAGCCGGCGCGATGTGATCCCGGCCACCTGTAACACCAAACAGCAGTCATGAGCGAGCTGAGCCGAGACTCGGTTATCCGCTTCTTGAGCGGGAAAGGAGGCCGGGTACCTAACCAGCAGCTGGTGGAGCATTTCCGGCCCCTTCTGACCGAGCAGCCCCCCGGAGAGGCCCGCAATGCTGCTCGTCACCTCTTCAAAGACATCGTTAACGACGTGGCCAGCGTGCGGGCGGAGGACGGGGTGAAATATGTCTGTCTGAAGAAAAAGTACCGGAGAGCAGCAGAGGAGACAAAGCAAGATCCAGGGGGGAATCATGGCTCGGAGCGAAGTCGTGAGACACAGCCTGCCGCCGGGGAAAATGTCGGCCAGGCGATCGCAGCGGAGCCCAGCACCGGAGGGCCGATCGCAGCAGAGCCCAGCACCGGGGAAACGATCACATCAGAGCCCAGCACCGGGGAAACGATCGCATCAGAGCCCAGCACCGGGGAAACGATCGCAGCAGAGCCCAGCACCGGGGAAACGATCGCATCAGAGCCCAGCACCGGGGAAACGATCACATCAGAGCCCAGCACCGGGGAAACGATCACATCAGAGCCCAGCACTGGAGAGACGATCACATCAGAGCCCAGCACCGGAGAGCCGGGTGAGGTGGACACCCCAGATTCTAGTCCCGGAGAGGAGTCCCCCCAGGCTGTGTCTTCCCCCGGTTCCGATGGTCCCCCCAGGATCTCAGTGACGGAGGAGCCGGAGGATGATCCCAGGTTGGACGGAGAGAAGATGCAGAGGAAGCTGCCCTCGGGCTCCCCAGATGAGCTCCTGGCCACCCTGCTTACCCACGCACGGCAGAACCGGGTGCCCGTCAACATCAACGCCCGGGCGTCCGGCGGCTACACCCCCCTTCACCTGGCCGCCATGCACGGACACCTGGACGTCATCAAGCTGCTGGTCGGGGCGTACGATGCCGATCTGGATATCCGGGACTACAGCGGCAGGAAAGCCTGGCAGTACCTGAGTCCGGACACTGCCCGCGATGTCCAGGCGCTGGTGGGGGCATTACAGGGCCGCGAGGAGGAAGATGACGGCACAACCCCGGGATCAGGCCGCTGGCGGCTCTCCAAAGTCTTACCCTCCCAGCTGATCGTACACAGGTTGTCCCAATTACCGGAGGATGAGCAGGATGGTGGGGGGCGCACCCGGCCAGACATCAGCAGGAAGGGCTCTGGGGGCAGCAGGGGTAAGCCTCGCCTCAATAGGATCAGATTTAGGACACAGATCATCCATACTAACTTGACAGCCAGGGACGATGAGGATGAGAGAACACTGAAGAGCCCCATTAGGCACAGACCCAAATCTAATGTATTTGGCTGATGCCCCCATTACAGTGAACTCTGGAATCTGATCTCTGAGCCCAGGGTGAAGGATGCCCATTTTATACAGTGATCTTAGGGTGAAGGATACCCATCATATACAGTGATCCCTGAACTGATTATCCTGAACACAGGCTGATGGAAGCCATTATTTATAGTGGACTCTGCAATGACTATCCTGGACATCCCAGAAAACAGACTGCTGGATACCCCCTATTTACAGTGGTCTCTGTACTGAGCCCACACTGATGGATGCCATTGTTTAAAGTGGACTCTGCATTGACTTTCCTAACCATCCCAGAACACAGGCTAATGCGCTGTGACTAGAATAAGAGTCTGTGTGGCCAGTTGTGTCTCTTATGGTTCACAACAAATCACTTTATTTTCTATATTGACTTCAACCATATTTTTACCTTGTCTTAAGCAAGGCCGTGCAAGAACACTAAAACAATCCTTTCATAGGACAATAACCTGTTCACTGTGGTCATATCAGTAAAGGAGACCCAGTCACCACTTCTCACTAATGTATCTGATCGCTGCTGTGGGGAAGTCAAGCTTCATTCTCACTATTGGCTCTGGTGATTCACAGGCACCAATAGGATCATTGTAATCTGACATTTCCAGGTGTGTCTGATTACTTTGTGTCCACCTGTAGCCGCTACATCACTTGCCCAACACTACAGCCTTCACTGTCTGGTAACATGATGAGGCTGTGCTTCGAGCTGCAGAGACATACTAGTGAAGTAGCAGCTTGCAGGGAGACACTAGGACCTGACACCTCCAGAAGTGTCAGATTGTGGTCATTCTAGCGGCACCTGTAACTCTGTCAAAGCAAAAAAAGTTTCAATCACTTGAGGGACCAATAATGTGAATTTTGCCTTTCCCACAACAGTGAAGTAGTGACAGGGTCTCTTAAGAGATGATTTCTTAATGGTTGTGATGAGTTAATGTGATTTGCACAACATAGACTTGGCTGCATATGGTATAAATTAGGGATGCACCGATACCGGTATTTTGGTACCGATTTTATTTTTTTTCGGTACTCGCCGATACCAATTACCCAGGACCGGAAGTCCCATTCAGGAAGCCAGGTGGCGTGTAATGACTCGCCACCTGGCTTCCTGATTAGTCGGGCAGTGTGTAAAGACTCGCCACCCGGCTTCCCGATTAACAAGAAAGTCTGTCCACTCTCACCTCAGCATGTCCAGCCAGGAGCGGCCTTCCTCCGGTACCCAGCTGGAGCCGTTTTGCTGGCCAATCATGGAATCCGGGAGCCGTGTAATGATGCGGCGCCCTGCTTTCTGATTGGCCGGGAGGCGGGCTCCATGCTCCCTCGTCATGAGATGACCCCCAAAGTGGATTGTATTCTGCATGCGGTGGATGTGTCGCTGTCCGAATACCCAGACACTGACTGTGGCTGATTTGCTGCAGTCACTATTTGGCTGAGAACTTTCTTACTAGTTCTTTCAACAAAACTTGATTTACAAATCAACTTTTGTTGAATAGAGGGGTGCTGACTGGGCCACACACTGGTCAAATTTCAGGCATAATTCAACAAGTGTATGGCCAACCTAAAGCCAATCTCTGAGTATTAAAAATAACTTAGCTCCACTGCAAGGGCTAACCTTTCATTTTTGTTTCTGTAAAGCACATTACGTACCTGATCCCTACTCCCCTGGCAGTCAGCGCTCGCCTCTCTCCCCTCCACTCCAGCTCATGGATTATCCCTCAGTGTCCTCACATATAGACCCTACATTAGACGTGATGATGCCAGTGGCCTCCAACCACCATAGCGGAGGGGGAATGAGACTGCGTATGCCATTCATGGAACCAGCGGAAGCGGGGATCAAGTAAGTAAAAGTGCTTTATAGAATCCCCCTAAACAAAATCAAGCAGTTAACCCTTGTATTGGGGGGTAGCTTGAGTGCAAGAGGTGTGTTTTTGTTTTTAAACTGGAGATAGGCTTTAAGGGTCTAAACCAAGGGTGGGCAACTCTGGCCCTCCAGCTGTGCTTTAACTACAAATCCCAACATGCTTCTGGTAGTCATGCCTGTAACTGTCATTCTTTAAATTCCTCATGGGACTTGTAGTTCTACAACAGCTGGGGTGCCGGAGTTGCCCACCCCAGGTCTAAACTGACATAATCAGGTAGCACTAATGGGATATGATTGACCTTGACTGAAGGCAGGGCATTCATTGATTAACATTTTCTAGATGGATTTGTAACATTTTATAGAACCAGACAGTCTAACCAAATGAACGCTGCTAAAGAGTTGATTTCTAGGAGTTTGTGTAGTGACACTATTGGTGCACCTATGTCTGAGAGAAAGCTCACTAGTTTGTACATCTACAAGGATCTCTGCTCGAACTGACTGTGTACATAGCATGTTGGGACAATACCTGTGTAACACTACACATAGACCAGCACTTGTTGTAAATGAAAGCCAAACATTGGGTTTGTCTACGTTGTGTTTTATTGTTGAGATCCAAAACACTATTTTTGTATTTCATGTGCCAAATGACCCATTGTAAACGTGATCGCACATCACAAAATTAGCACTTTCTAAAAACGCTTAAGATACTGCATAAAATGCTACTACATCTTACCAATGTTGCTTGTCTTCTTGAATGAATGTTAATGTGATTCTTGAGGGTATGCCCGCCTATACGTGTTACATACCTTTCTAGGCCGGGCTAGCTAACCTTGGCCCTCCAGCTGTGGTGAAACTACACATCGTATTATGTCTCTGGGAGTCATCCCTGTGGCGGTCAGTCTTGCGATGCTTTATGGGACTTGTAGTTTTACAGTGCCTGGAGTGCTGAGGTTGCCTACCCCTGCTGTAGATGCTAGGGCTTCAGCTATCATGGAGCTTTTTACAGGTTAATCTATAGTAATACAAAGAGATATCACCATAGCCAAAGAGACACCTCCTGGTTTATATAAAGCTGAGCAGCAGAAAATCTTTTTGCGGGGAGATATCTATGCTGAGTGTTCTAAGAAACATTGGAGTAAGTGAGGCTGTCATTGTCCTCCTATTGAACTAAGAACTCCAGGAAGTGTCTATGTGCACCTCTGTGGACAGGTAATGTGAAAGTGACACTTCTCTCCGTGCTGTCCTTGACCTAATATAGAGCTGGAAAATGTCCGCTCTCCATCCTTTTTTGCTCGCTCATGGCATGATTTTAATCCCTGTACTTAGTGAACCTTTACCCCCTTTCACTAAAAATGACATCAGCATGCAGCTCTGCATGATATGAAATCATCTTACATTCATTAAATATTTTTCTTTTACTTTACAATTATTATTTTCCACTTCCCGGTCCTCTTGGGCATTAGTGATGTAATGTGCCCAAACGTTGCATCCTGGCAATGTTACATCAGCAGTGCATTGCTTATAAATCTCAAAGGCATTTTCTGCCCCTAAGATGATGTGCATGTTCACGTATCCTAGCCACATGTGCCAGAATTCCAGGAAGTAAAGGGAGATACAGGTGAAACTCGAATAATTAGAATATTGTGCAAAAGTAATTGCAGTAAGTGCTGCAAAAGGGGCCCAAACCAAGTACTGAGTACATATGCATGCTTGTACTTTTCAGAGGTCCGATATTGTTCTATGTACAATCCTTGTTTTATTGATTGCATGTAATATTCTAATTTTCTGAGATTGTGGATTTGGGGTTTTCATGAGCTGTAAGCCATAATCATCACAATTATGACAAATCACGGCTTGAACTATCTCATATATTAGTTTCACCTTTTAAGTTGCATTAGTGAAATAAATGAACTTTGCACGATATTCTAATTATTCGAGTTTCACCTGTATATTAGTTACAATGGCCACTGTGAGAAGAATGGAGAGGAGAACAAAACAAGGTATGCAAAGAAAACAATGCCGGCAATTATGTAGAAGTATCTGTTTGTAGATTGCCATTGCTAAACATTTGTAAAGCTGCCATGGTTGTAATTTTAAAGATAAGAGTAAAGTTCCTCTTTAACAGCTGGCTGCAGAGTACATGAAGAGGAAGTGTGTTATGGGGGGGGGGAAAAAAAATTCTGCCCCGGGCGCCCAGAACTCTGGTTACGCCACTGATTCAGATGCACATAACAAGGTAATCAGTGCTTGCTAGAGCTTCCAGTATAATAGTGTTAACAAAAATCCATTTGGATTGGACTGAGCAATCAATTTCAATAACTAAACAAATTGAGTATGTAGATCGGGGTGGACATATTATTTTGGAATGCAGAATTTTATTTTAGGAGCCAGATCCATTGGCAACAACTGGAGAAAACGTTAGACAGCAGCTATTCTTTTTAAGTAGCATTGGCTACCTGGATCATGGGACCTGTCCAACCCTGTTGTAGATCACTTTATGGTTGAATCATGTAGGTTCAGGGTGATGAAACATAGCTTGTGTGTGTCACATAGAAACACTTTAGTTTTACATATTGTGATTGATTATGCAATAGCACAAGTGGAACTTTTTCTTTGTGTGTGTCCATGCCCTTGTTTTATGAAATTGATTTTGCAATGACTCCTTGTCATATGAGCATGTACTCTAATCTTGTCATCAAACTCTCCTGCATAGTCTAGCCTTTTTGTCTTTTTCTTCACATTTGTAAACATTTGTGCATGCTGTTGTCAAAGCAAATCTAAGCCTCAAGAACTAAAATGTAACATATTGCAGTCCTTCGATAAGGGGACTGCATTCACTTTTATTTTTCAGGCAAAGTACATTTCCAGTGAGTACAGAAAAGAGCTGTTCATCCTGCCAGCAGTGCAGTGTCCTTGTCACCATATGTGAGTTGTGCTTTTAGTTCAGACAACCTTATCTATATTGTGTAAGCTAATAGCCCCATTAATCTACTATGTAACTGAAATGAACAAAGGCAGACATGTTTAACCACTTCCTGCCCGGAGCAATTTCTTACTATTTGCACAGACATGATAAAATCTGAATTTTTGGCTAGAAAGCCGCTTCAAACTCCCAAATGATGATATA